CAGAGGAAAAATATTCTTGCTAAGCATTTATGAATACAGTTCGAGTGTCTACCACCTGTGAGGCCAGTGTGAGGCACAATGCAACTCCTACGAAGCAAGAAAGACCTGGACAGCCTGCAGCCCCCGACTGCTCCCAAGGGTGCGGGACGGCCACCGATGTCTGCCCCGTGTACGTGGCAACAGAGGACTCCAAGGAACCTGCCCCCTTGGGAAGTCCCCATCGCAGAGCCATCCGAGCCACTGCTCTCCGTGGGCCTGCCCGGTCGGAGCTGCTGAGGTGTCCAGATGAGCACCTTGCCAGCTACTTCTTGGCACAGCCTGACTGCGTAGACGACGTGTGTAGGCAGGGCTGGGTGCAGAGTGGGACAGAAAGCTGACTGTGGCTGGGCTCGGGCAGACCCCGGTGCCTCTCCTGCGTGTCTTCGTGGACATGTACCTGTCTGGTGACACTGCTCTTTGGCGGCCAGGTGGGGATGGGGGCCCAGGCAAGCCTCCTGACACGCTCTCATTCTCACACTTGGCAGAGATGCCACTGAGGGCATGTGCTGACTGTCACCAGGTCTTTTCTCTCCTACCTGTTCAAATTTATGCATCCTGTGTATTGAGCCAGGAAGAACCACAGTGAAATTAGTAAGAACCTAGAAAGGCCTGGGTTGAGAAAAGGCAACCCCCCTGACCTGGAGTCGGGGAGAACACCGGACTCCCTGTGCCCAAGGATCCCAAGCCCTACACATCCGTCACATCTGAGCCTGGCCACCTGCTCAGTCCGTGTGCCTGACCGACAGGACACCAGCGAGCGCTAACGGAACCTTCACCTCTGCTTCTCCACCTGGCTGCTCAGTGGAACACAGAGTTGCACGCAGGATCCAGCAGGAGATGCTGTGAGAGCTGGAGAGGAACTAGAGAATGCAGATAGAGCTATAAGACAAGTCAGCAACCTTGCTGTCTACACGGCAAGTGCCTCAACACCACACCCGTGTCTACACGGCAGGTGGCCTGACACCACACCCCAGTGTCTACACAGCAGGAGCCTTGGACACTGCACCAAGGAACTGAGGGAAGAGCTGTGGTAGGAGCTGCAGATTTCTGAACACAACCATCAACTCCATGAGGGACTTGGGAACCTCCGGACATGCTAACTCTTCCAACAGTCTCTTCTCTGACAAAATGCAGTGACATGATCCGTCATCAGAAGGGTGTCAATTTACCTTCGACAGCTTCCATGTCAGGAAGCTCAATGCTTTTGTAAAAAAAGTCAAACATACAAGCATACTTTCCACAGTCCAGAGGACTGCCTGTGCCAACTTGAAAAGTACAGTGCCTATAATTTATTATTTTAAAAATATTAATGTAACGAGAATGGATTTTATGCATTCTGCAGGTACAGCTGCAAAGTCATTTGTCACATAGCTTCATTTCTATAGAACAGCCTCGGGCAAGGAAGTGCCTGTGTCCTTTCTGCATGGGAACACCATCATTGGTCTAGCTGGTACATTTTTAAAGAAATGGATAGGCTGTGACAGTGGCAGGTTTTTTTTTAACGGAATTTTAGAAATGGGAAGATGGGGATATGACCAAGCCTGGGGCAGGACACAGGTGGGGAGGCGCGGTCTGGCCCTTGGACCCAAAGCTGGGTAAGAAGCACCATGGTCACTCAGTGTCCAGCCCTGGCCCCTAAAGAAAAACCCGCAGACCCGCACAGGGCGCACCCCGAGAAACCCACAGACCTGCACAGGGCACACCCCGAGAAACCCACAGACCTGCACAGGGCACACCCCGAGAAACCCACAGACCTGCACAGGGCGCACCCCGAGAAACCCGCAGACCTGCACAGGGCACACCCCGAGAAACCCACAGAACTGCACAGGGCGCACCCCAAGAAACCCGCAGACCCGCACAGGGCGCACCCCGAGAAACCCACAGACCTGCACAGGGCGCACCCCGAGAAACCCGCAGACCTGCACAGGGCGCACCCCAAGAAACCCGCAGACCGGCACAGGGCACACCCCAAGAAACCCGCAGACCCGCACAGGGCACACCCCAAGAAACCCGCAGACCTTCACAGGGCGCACCCTGAGAACCCTGCAGACCTGCACAGGGCACACCCCAAGAAACCCGCAGACCTGCACAGGGCGCACCCCGAGAAACCCGTAGACCTGTACAGGGCACACCCCAAGAAACCCACAGACCTGCACAGGGCGCACCAAGAGAAACCCACAGACCTGCACAGGGCGCACCCCGAGAAACCCACAGACCTGCACAGGGCACACCCCAAGAAACCCGCAGACCTGCACAGGGCACACCCCAAGAAACCCGCAGACCTGCACAGGGCGCACCCCAAGAAACCCGCAGACCTACACAGGGCACACCCCAAGAGAAACTCACAGACCTTCACAGGGCACACCCTAAGAAACCCGCAGACCTGCACAGGGCGCACCCCGAGAAACCCGCAGACCTGCACAGGGCCACCCAGAGAAACCCATAGAACAGCAGGGAAGCATTCCCAGCTCCAGGCACTTGCTTCATTCACAAAGAAGCTTCTTCAAACCCCATGTAACATCACTAGTCTCGGGCCTGTCCTCTGCACAGCTCACACCCTTCTCAGCACGGCACCATGCCTGGGTCTTCCCAGGAGAAATGCGGGATCGTCTGGGGACCCCGCAGTGGTTGCCCACCAAGGTCACAGATTCGTGCAAGAGAGATCCCGACATTTGCTGCACTGCAACCGAGCAGCGGCCGACAGACCAAACCCGGCTCGGTACCCTGGCACTGAGACCAGGGCTGCATGGGAGGCCATGGCTCGCCCGGCCCTCAGCCCAATGGCCTCATCTCCATGGCAGCGTTTCCCGTGAACTTGGAGGCAGACAGGCGAGCTCAGGTGCGATGAATGGTGCTGCCGACAGCCGACTGGCAAACGCCCCCCCTCCTGCATTCCAACAGTGTCAGCCGTGCACCTCTGCTAGCTCTGTGGATGACTCAGCTAGCTTCCTGTGATATCCTGGAACCTGACATGGCACTTCCCCCTCCAGCACTTCCCCGGCCAAAGCAACCATTTCTGTGGTTCTGGGTACAGGCACCTATCATGTGGGGGGAAAAGCCAAAACAAACCATACAGTTGGCAAGGAAGCTCAATGTACACCCCGGGCCTCCTTGGGGGAGGGGTCCTGGAGGCCTGAGCCCCGCAGCTGCCTCCGCTGTCCTTGCCGTTTGGGACACAGTGGGGTCTTAGGGAGGGAGCCCTTCATGCTGAGAGACCAGGGGGCCTCAGAGCAACCCAGATCCGCTCAGACACAACCAGGCCCGCCAGACAGGCATGCGCCCCGGCCCCCGACACCGCAAGCCCACCCTCGCAAAGGAATCAGAGTGCAATTCAGAAATGATGTCACATCCTGAATTTTATTCGATTCCATAAGACAAAAAATAGCAACTTAGATGAAGACATCCACTTTGATCAGTTGGTGTGTCAAGCCACAAGATTTAATAAAATATCAGATCTAGGTAACAATTCCCAGTGAGCTCGGAGGCCCCAGCTCCCCACGGAGCTGCAGTAGAAAAATAGGGTCTCTCTTGGGCATGCGGAGTGGGCGGCACAGCCCGGGTGCAGGCGCTGTCTTAGCTATGACACCTGCCGAGGTGCTTGGCTCAGCTGTGTACACATCCTCCTTGCAGGAGCAAGGACACTCATGTGGAATGAGACACTATCCTGGAAGGCTGAACACACGCCAGGAGACCCAGGGCAGCTGACCGTGAGCTCCCGGGTGGCCCACGGGGACAGCCCTTCACCCAGGGCCGCAGGCAGGAGTGACCCAGTGTGAGTGTGCACTGCAGAGGCTGCTCCTCCTCTGGGACGCCCCGCCACCCGGATCTCACCGCTGGGAGTTCACAGACCCCACAGGGGGCTGCCCACACTACAGCACCCCCGCATTCTGAGCCCAGCGTGTGGTCCAACCTGGAGTGTGGCCTGCACCTGAGCAGGTGACCACCAGGACAGAGCTGTGACCAGTGGCGATCTCTGTCCCGGTGACTGTTGTCGCCTCCTGGCTCCAGATGCCACAGCACTACGGTGCCCGAGGCAGGCCGGGGAGGTCACGGGGTGGGACCGGCTGCAGCAAGGAGCCCCCAATGTGTGGGCTGTGCACATTTCTCCCCACCTCTGACCTAGCACGAAGCAGGGAACCGCGAGGCCTCCCCACACATTCCTTGTACGCAAGTACTATTTATAAAATACGTCACATCCTCTCATGTCTCCAAATTATAGACAAAACTCCCCAATACAAAAGACTAAAAGTGCCAGAGTATAAATTAAAAATTTGCGACCACATTATACAAACATTACTTTTTATTGTACAGCTTTGATCACGTGAGATGTCACAGCGGCTCATGGTGCCGTGTGCATGTGACTGTCCCCCAGTCACTGGGCTACAGACCACACCCGAGAACAAGTGTCCAAGTGTCCACATAGCAGCTACAGACACTGAAGTCAAAAACCAAAAACAAGGGGGGAGCTTGTTACCGATAGGTGCTTGCACACAAAAGGCATGCTAACTTTCCCAACGAAACTTCACAAGTTTGCCTGCACTGAGAAAATCCACTTATTCATAGGAAAACAAATCTCGCTTAAAAAAAAATGACATAGCCAGATGTATTCTGCTGTACAAAAGCTCATGTCAGGCTGGAGCTATTACAGTGCCAGATACCCGCGTAATCTTAACATTATAAATACTACGGACGAAGGTGCAGCCGCAGCCCGCAGGCCCTCAGCCCCGCAGAGGCGGGAGTGCCAACAGCGCACTGAGGTCCGTTCCAGGCAGCTATGCCCTGGGAACCCCCTCTCGGCCGTGACGGCCCGTGGGCCTTGACAGAAATGTACGTAAGAGCTGGCAGGGTTCCCCAGGGGAGCGTTTTCTACCATGAGAACCCAGGCACGACGGGCTCCAGCTTCGGACTGAGGGTGGGGCTGTGGGGGGCGGCAGGGACAGACCGAGCCACGGTGCATCCGGCTAGTTTATGCCAATCTCCTTGTTGTCCTCAATGAGCCTCGCAAAGGGGCGGCCGGCCCCTGTCTCGGGGCTCGTTTTGTCCAGGCTCACCATGGGCGGGCTGCCGCCAGTGCGTGTCTTGTCCATGCTGCCGGCCACAGTGCCCAGTGGGGGGATGGCGCTCCCACCGAGACTTACTGGGAGCTGGGGGATGCCACCGTTCTGGATCACGGAGATTTCGTTGTTCTTCATGGCCAGCCCATTGGTGATGGCGGCGGCGTACTGGTTCCAAAAGCTAGCGTCCACGTTCATGGCTCGGGCTGCCAGGTCTTTCTGAAACATCTCAGAGAACTTGAGGGCATCGCTGCCCAGGAGGGCCATGGGGTTCTCCACTGACAGGCGGCGGCCGCGCCTCGCAGGGGCATTGTTCCACATGTGTGTTCCCATGTGTACCTGTGTGAGACACAGAGCCACGACCCACGGGTAAGCAAGTCCCTCCCCCCCTGCCCTAGCTGTGTCACGCCAGCTGCCCCAGCCACCTGCATGGGGTCCTGGGGCTGACCCGAGGAGGGGCCACCTGCAGCTGGCGCTTATTTGGCCAGGGCACAAATCCTGGGCAGGCTGAGGGTGGTGCCCTGGGCGGGGCCCAGGCCCCCTCACCTGTGGAACGTGTGAGGATGCACATGTGCTGACGTGAACACAGCACTCCTGTGAGGCTGCTCCCAAATGCCCTCCCTCCCCAGGGTTCTGGAATTTTCTAGGCAAGCCTCGCCTCTGTCACCAGTAAGCAGGCTAGCGGCTGAAATCTAAGGGCAGAGTCAAACCTGCTTAGCAGCAGGGGGTGAGTCCTCACTCTGCACGCAGGGGTGCCTCTGCAGAGCCCTGACTTCTCGGTGCCCAACAAGAGTTGTGCATACCTTAAGTGTGCACACATGCAACGCACATCCATTACACTGCAGTCACACACACAAACCTCACCTTGAGGCTGCCCTCGGTGGAGGCCCTGCTGCCTGTCACACATGTGCACTCACACACATGCCTCACCTTGAGGTTGCCCTTGGTGGTGAAGGCCCGGCCGCAGATGGTGCAGCCAAAGGGCTTCTCGCCAGTGTGCGTGCGCTCATGGATCTGCAGGGCGCTGGCCGAGGAGAAGGTCTTCCCGCACGACTGGCAATTGTGCTGCTTGGGCGTCCGGCGTGGCGGGGGGGCGAGCATGGGTGTCAGGCCTGGGCTCACAGCTGTCGGGGGCCCTCCAGGGACCTGGACTCCGGTCAGCGGTGGACCTTCACCCAGGGGGATGGCCTTGGAGTGGCCATTCATCTCCATTTTGATCATGGCGGGTGTGGCGCTGGCGACCAGGCTAGGCGTACTTTGGCTGGGACCTAGAGCAAAGTCGGGGTCACACACCTGAGCAGGTAGCTCCCTCAACCTGTGCGTCAGTAAGTGCTGCTTCAGGTTCCCCAGGGTCGAGCACCCGCGCCTGCAGACGGCGCAGACGAACGGGCGCTCCTTTGTGTGGCTGCGGTGGTGGATTTCCAACGCACTCTTGCAAGCAAAGGGCTTGCCACAGATCCCGCACACCGCGCCGGCACACTTACCCCGCTCGCGGCTCAGGAACAGCAGGCTGAAGGGGGGCTCCTCCTTGATGGCCGGCCGGCCCGGGGGGCCGGTCAGGTCCAGGGCGCCGCCATTCCCGGGGGTGGGCATAGGAGGCAGCGGGGGCGGGGGGCTGTCTGGCCGCTCTGTCTTGAGCGGGATGTCCTGCGGCTCCTCCTGGCTGCAGAGGCCGGGGGACTTGGAGCGGAAACTCTCGCCGTGGCTGTGGGTCGGGGACGGCGCCCGGGAGGATGAGGACTCGGACGGCGCCGGGCTCTCCAGGTCACCCACGGCCGAGGAGGAGGAGTCGTTGCTCAGCCGGTCGCTGTCCCCGGAGCCGTTCTCCGCAGCCTTCAGGCCGGCCAGCGGTGGGCAACTCATGACAGAGTCCATCATCTTCATCTGGTTCTCCAGGGCAGCGATGCTGGAGATGACGGAGGGCGGTGAGGGTGGGCAGGAGCCCGCGAGGCCCAGCAGCGGCTTGGCCGCATCGCCGGCGGCCGCCTCCTTGAGCTCAGCGTCCTCCTCCATGGAGTTGTCGTCCATGTCGTCGTCGTAGCTGCTCAGGGCCCCTGCGGCCAGCTCGGCGTCCATGGCGTCCTGCAGGCCGTCGGGCGGCGGCGTGTTGGGGATCTGGCCGCCCATGTGCATGCGAATGTGCTGCTGCAGCACCACGGCATTGGTGAACTTCTTCTGGCAGATGGGGCACGAGTGCTGCACTCGCAGTGGCGGCTTGGCCCGGTGCACCCCGAAGTGGGTCTTGAGGTTGCCCTTGGTGGTGAAGGCGCGGCCACAGATCTTGCACTTGAAAGGCCGCTCGCCTGTGTGCGTCCGGTAGTGCATCTTCAGTGCACTCTGACAGCTCAGCACGCGGTGGCAGATGACGCACTGGTTGGGGTCGGTCATCTTCTTGTCAATGTTCTCCACCAGCTGCTGCAGTTTGGAGGTCTCCGACGTCTGCATGGAGTCCAGCAGGCCCCCGAAGGGGAACTGTGCCTTGAACTGCTCGGCCACAGGGGGGAGGCCTGGGCTGCCCAGGCTGCAGGACGCACCGCTGCCGACCCCGTCTGTGCCGGCTGCTGCAGGGTCTCCTGCCCTGGCGCCAGGGCCGGGCAAGCCCAGGCTGGTTGGCTCATTCTTGCTTAGAGAAGTCCCACTGAGGAGCGGCTGGGGGGACTCAGTGGCCGCCGCCACCGTGGTCGTCGTGGGGATGCCCACTTCGGCGTGACTCAGCCCAGGGGACAGGGAGGTGCACTCACTGGAGGCTGGGGAGGGCCGCTGTGGGGAGCGGCTGCCAGGGGTGACACTGGGGGACTCGGCAAAGCTGTGGGTGCCAGGGACTGTGGGCGGGAGCTGCAGCCCCACAGAGGTGGGCACGGTGGGCAGCACAGGCTTGCTGTCCAGCCAGGTGGTCACGGGTTTCTCAGGGGGCAATGACATGCCATAGGGGATGCCCGAGCAGGTGGGCACATTGTCGAGGTACTCGGGCACGGGGTAGGGGTTCATCTGGATGTGTGGGTACTTCTCCTTGTGCCGCTGGAAGTGCACCTTGAGGTTGCCTTTGGTGGAGAAGCGGTTCCCGCAGATGTTGCACTTGAAGGGCCGCTCGCCCGTGTGCGAGCGCAGGTGGATCTGCAGAGCGCTGTCACTGCCGAAGACCTTGGCGCAGAAGCGGCACTTGTGCTTGAAGAAGGGGTCCTCGGCACTGGCCTTGGGCTCGAACACAGACACGTTGGGTGGCTTGCCCTTGTGGTGCTTCAGGAGTGCCGAAAGCGGGTCCAGGGCATTGGCGGTGGCCGCGATGCTGACCAGTGGGTTGGGGAAGATGACACTGCTGGAAGAGGACTGAGGTAGAAGTGCACTGGGCAGGGATGCAGCACCCACGAGGGGCCCAGGACCAAGCGGTGTGCAGGTGTTCTGCGGCTGTGAGGCGCTAGACGCTGTGGATCCAGCCGAGGCCGGCGTGGGGCCGGAGGTGGAGGGTGCGCTGGACTCGGCTGGCACAGCGGGGGCCCCGGCAGGGGCTGCAGGCTGCTGCAGGTGTGTAGTACCCTCGAAGGCAGAGGGCGCACCCACGGGAGCAGGGCCTGAGGCGGCTGCGAGCTGCACGGCTGGGGTTGGCGCCAGCCCCTGCAGCGGGCTAGGCCCCGGGGTGGACGAGGGCGCCCCGTGGGTCGGGGCAGCCGCAGCCACCGTGGGGTTCAGTGCGGGCCTTGGGGGCTGGCGGTGCATCAGGGCCACCTGGCTGCGGATCTGCTCTATGAGCTGCAGCTGGTGTATCTGTTGCTGCTGCAGGGCCACGAGCTGCTCCAAGATCATGGGGATGGCCGCAGCACCCACGCCCGTACCCGCACCACCTGCTGCACGAGCCCCCTGCGAAAACTGTGCCACAGCCACCTTGGTGCTCAGCAGGGTCTCCAGGGTCACGTTTGTGCTGGGGATGCCATAGGTGGCTGTGGATGCCTGCTCAGGGGCCTGCACCAGAGGTACCTTGGGCGTGCTGGAGACTGGGAAGCTGCGGTCCCCAGAGGGTGCTGCATCCATGGGCTCGTCTGTCTTCTCAGCGGCCTTCACGTCGCCACCCTCTGTGCCCTCGGTGCCCTCTGTGGCAGCAGCGGCGGTGCCCTCCTCGGCGGCTCCCTCGCTGTCGGTGCGCTCGCTGGGCGAACTGGCGGGCGAAGGCTCAGGGCCATCATCAGAGGCTGGGGCGGGCTCATCTTCGTCCACAATGAGCACAAGTGGGTTCTGTGTGCAGGCCTTCCTGTGTGCCAGAAAGTCGGCCCACTTGAAGAAGGCAGCACAGCACTTGGCACACACGTTGCTGTCCTCACTGCCACTGCGGCTCTCATCCCCGCTGTCCCCGTCCGCGGCACTGGCCCCCGCAGCGGCTGCAAGAGCGAGAGAAGGCGTGAGCGCCAGTGGTCCACAGCCCACTCAACCTGGCTCATCATTTCTTTAGTTCAATCTATCAAATGATGAGGCCCTGTCGATTGTGGACCCTACTGCTTAATGAAATCCCATAGACGCCATTGATTTCTGATGCTCTCAAACCCTCTTAAGCGACCCTGCCGGCTGCCCAGAAGGCCTGCCCTCCCCCCGACTTGGGCTACCCCAGGGCCACGTCCCCACTGTGCCTCGCCCACCTGGCGCTGCTCCTTGCATGACTAGGACCCTCCTCCCGGTTCCTGGAAACTCTTGGCCAAGCCCTCCAGTCTCTACCTCCTCCACAGCCAGGCTACACCCCAGGGCTAGCTGTGCAGTGCAAGCCTGGCCTATCCAAGGTTACAATGAATTGTGTTTGATACAACTAATCGGCTCTGTCAGGTGCAAATATTTCTCAGCAAAATGAACCAAAGTGACACACTGGTGTTACTGGACAGTGGAACCCAGCAGTCAGTGAACGGCGTGGAACTGTACATCGCAAGTTCACGGATCAGGATGGACGGGGGGAGCTGGGTAGCTACATTCTGCCTTCTTGCTCTGCCAGAGAATCCGTGAGTGAGACGCCTGGGTGCTGGTGTGGCGGGGAGCCATTAACTGGACACACACGCCCCACCCTGCCGGCCCACAGAAGCCTCATCCAGCCAGACACACACACTCACTGACTGAAGCCCTGAGCAGAACAAGAAATCAGCACGTCCAGCCCTGGGTTTCAGGCAGCGGGGGCTCCGGACAGACCACGGCCTCCTCGGAGTGGCGGTTGGGGGCAACCCAAACCCCAGGGCAACGGCCACCAGTCTGCCACGATCTCACCCACGTGTGCTCGGAAGCCTCTGGAGCACAGCCCTGCACACAGGTTGGCCGGAGTCCTTCACAGCACTTCCTGGGGGTGGCTGGGAAAGGTATCTGCCACAGAGGTCGCGAGGGCCCCGATCTTCAAAAGCTTCACGGAGAAGCAGATGGTGTCTGGGGGCCAGGCAGGGCCCCCGCGAGGCAGCCCTCCAGGGTTGTCTGCCCCTGCTGAACAGCAGTGTGCAGTGAGCCTGAGCTCAGCTGGCTGCGCTGTGGAAGCCGAGAGCCAACCGAGCCTGCAGCCGCCACACCGCTAGTCAGCTCAGCATCCAGGGGCCAGGCCGGAGCGGGCAGCCTCAGGACGGGACTGAGGGCGCTGCAGTGGCAGAGGAGTGGGCAGAGTCCTCCAAGAGTTCAATACTGGTGAGGTGCAGTTTTGAAGCTGCTGCTGGAATGGGGACCCAAGAAACAACCCCACAAAACAAACAAGAGCCTAAACACTGCTCAGCAGCCAGGGCTTTGTCGGGAGCAGAAACATGCTGAAAATCTGTGGCACCAAACTGCTTTTCAATAGTGGAAATGCTCCCCGTCCTCCCTGCCGAAGCCCACCCATGCGGCCGTAAGCAGCACCGGTGCCCCTCGCACAACAGCAGCGGCTCAGAACACTCCCCGCATTTCCAGCTGGGACCCCAACAGTGCTGCTTTGGGGCCACTGAACTCTGACCAGCAGCACTGCTTCCACTTCCCACTTCCCCCAGATGTCACCGGGCAGCCGTATTGCCCACTGTTTACATGCCGTGGGGGCTGCGGTGGCAGAGCTGTTCCAACAGCCGGATCACCACCGACTGTGCTGGGTGTGCGCGCTCTGTGCTGCGGGAACACCGCTTGTGTCTTTACACAAAGCATGCTTCTGCTGGAGTTAAAGCACCGCATGTTCACATCCTCAGGTTTTTCCCAAACGCTCCGAGCGCGGCCGGTTCATTTTTCTCCCATCGGCAGGTCTACTAAGTCACAGCCGATTTTTCATGTGCAGACTTAGGCCCTTGTTGCCAAATAATGCAAATTGCTCAGCTTCCGGTGACCCCCAAGCATAATTACGTCAAGGCAATGACCACACAAAACCTCCACTGAGGCTTCTTCAGAGTCCAAGAAGGAAACTGGGTCCAAAGGGCACCCCAGCATTCCGAGTCCTCAAGGAACTTGGCGAGGCAGCCAAGCTTCATCCTCGGCTCCCAGAGCAACCTCAGCCACAAGGGAAAAGACCCCCAGTTCCACTGCCGAACGCACGAGCAGGTTAGAATGACTGTCAGCGGCTGCTGTTGTTAGGGTTCAGAGACAGTGGATAACACCACGACAGCCACCTTCAAGGTCACACTGTCAGTAGGGAAGCTACCCCGCCGCTCACAGGGGCCCACAGGCTGGGAGAGCTAGACCACCAACAGAATGGCAAGGTTACAAAGGCTGCCCCGACACAGTGAACACTGCTTGAACCTAATAGGCCGGCTGAGGGCCCGACAGGCTCGCTGCCTCCGCGGGGCACAGTGGACCCGGGAGGCCGTGCTGGACAGTCCGTCAGGGAGCCTGGCTTTCCTGGCAGCCTGACGCACAGCCTTTGCACCAGCCCCTACCTCGACAGCTTCTAGCACAGGAAGACCCACGCGGGGGAGTCTGAACCGAGCCCTGCGCTGCCTGTTCGAGGCGTCGATGCGGGGTCAGATTGAAGTGATTCAACCATCTGTTCAAGTGCAGGTCTGCAGCAGTCCCCCTCAGGACAGGGAGTGAGTCTGAGAGATGTGCACCTTCCTGTGTCTCTTTAAGAGGAGAATCAGAGCACTGCAGACACCACGGTTCAAGTCAGAGTTAATTGTTTTTTTGCACGCTGACTCTTCAACAACTGAGCTACTTGAACCTGTAAATAAAACAGGCCAGGACTCAGCACAGCAGGTTATGTTACGAAGACTAGGCAAGAAATATGCCTACCGACGCACCAGGACGCGGCACGGGCCCACCCTGCCCTGCTGGTCAGCAGGAATGCCCGTCGAGGTGACAGGAAGCGACCTGGCTGACGTCAGGCGCCCCCAGCAGTCTCCAGGCCCTGTGTGCTACCTGCCCTAGAGGCCCCCACACAGCCAGCCCCTCGAAACCCTCCCTCGGCTCCTGAGTGAGCACTCCACAGGGTCTGGGTCCAAGAGAGTGGCCAAGGCCTGCAGAGGAAGCTTCCAGAAAGAGGACAGCAGCTGATGGCAGCTTGGTCCTCTTCCATACAGCCGTTCCTCCGGACCGTCCTCAGTGAGTCAGTGAGAGCCCCCCTTCAGATCCCCGGTTCAGCTCTGGGTGGATGGGGCGGTATGTCATTCACAAGATGCCAGGTTAGCCACAGGAGAGGCTCCTCAGACACACCTTGTTGGGCAAGCTGCAGCTCTCAGGCGTTCCTCGCTCTGTCCCTACACACAGCCGCCTCACAGGTGAGTCCCGCACACAGCCGCCTCACAGGTGAGTCCCACGCACACAGCCGCCTCACAGGTGAGTCCCGCACACAGCTGCCTCACAGGTGAGTCCCGCACACAGCCGCCTCACAGGTGAGTCCCACGCACACAGCCATCCTCACAGGCGAGTCCCGCACACAGCCATCCTCACAGGTGAGTCCCGCACACAGCCATCCTCACAGGCGAGTCCCACACACAGCCGCCTCACAGGTGAGTCCCACACACAGCCATCCTCACAGGTGAGTCCCACACACAGCCATCCTCACAGGCGAGTCCCGCACACAGCCATCCTCACAGGCGAGTCCCGCACACAGCCATCCTCACAGGCGAGTCCCGCACACAGCCATCCTCACAGGCGAGTCCCGCACACAGCCATCCTCACAGGCGAGTCCCACGCACACAGCCATCCTCACAGGCGAGCCCCGCACACAGCCATCCTCACAGGCGAGTCCCATGCACACAGCCGCCTCACAGGCGAGTCCCGCACACAGCCATCCTCACAGGCGAGTCCCGCACACAGCCATCCTCACAGGCGAGTCCCGCACACAGCCATCCTCACAGGCGAGTCCCGCACACAGCCATCCTCACAGGCGAGTCCCGCACACAGCCATCCTCACAGGCGAGTCCCACGCACACAGCCGCCTCACAGGCGAGTCCCGCACACAGCCATCCTCACAGGCGAGTCCCGCACACAGCCATCCTCACAGGCGAGTCCCGCACACAGCCATCCTCACAGGCGAGTCCCGCACACAGCCATCCTCACAGGCGAGTCCCGCACACAGCCATCCTCACAGGCGAGTCCCGCACACAGCCATCCTCACAGGCGAGTCCCGCACACAGCTGCCTCACAGGCGAGTCCCGCGCACAGGCAAGCCTCACAGGCGAGTCCCGCACACAGCCATCCTGAGTCCCGCACACAGGCAGGCCGAGTCTTAGGGCCTCCACTCTCCATCTCAAAGCTCAGTGCACTGGACTTCACTTTTAAGTCATGGAAGTCGACAAAGGGGTCGTTTCCAGCAGCCTGAGGGTTGGTTAACTTCCCCAGCTGACGGGGACCATAGGTACCCTCTTTTCCCATCTCTCAGAAATCCAGAAAGCATTTTTTTAATAGGTTTTCTAAATCGGTCAGAGGAGACACTTATTTTCTTGCAAATTAATTCTTTTTAACTCCTTATGATAGCTCTGAATCCCATAAAGAAGGATGAATTATCACATAGTGAGCGCAAGCTGTGAAACAGGGGGAGACAAATAGAGACCCCTACTGTGTTTAACAATGTACAAGAAATTCCAGACGCAAGAGAAAAATCCCTGGTCCCTCAGCAGCCCTCAGAGCCTGCGAGCTCGGAGCTGGACGGTGGAGGGCACTCGCGCTCAGCGCTGGGCTGGCCCACACACTCCCCACTCAGCGGCCCACCACTCAAACTGGTTAAGGACCACCTGTGGCACAGGCGCGGCCGCCTTCCGTTTAAGCACTCGCGGCCTTTCCTCTGTGCGGAGGGCGGGGACACTGCTTCCTTCCCGGGTGCGTGCCCAGCCTGGCTGTAGGCATGGGGAGACGGAGTCCAGACTCACTCGCCTCTCCACAGACACCCACACGACGGGCCCTGCTTCCAGCCTGGACAAGGTGCCGTGGTCACTTCCGGCTAGGCTGCAGTGATGGTCTGCATTCGGAAGACGTGTGAGCTTGCCCAGGTGGAATTCCGTGACTAGCTGCTCTCCAAGTCTACCATGCACGTGAATTAAAAAGTCAACCTGTGTATACCTGCAAGGCCCTGGTCCCACACAGCCCATCGGCCCCGGGGCGGCTGGGAGCCATGCTACACCCAGAAGCGGGCAGCCCAGGGGCTGGGATGGCAATTGCTGGCTCCCATCGTGGGCAAGCCCCTCTAGGGTTTGTCAGGCACAGCTGGTCTCCGTGGGGAAGTTCACACACATGCCAGAAAGCCACGGGGAGGAGTGCCACTGCCCTGGGTGCCCAGGGATTGTGCGGGCAGTGGGGGGAAGGGTGGGGGTGGCAGGCTAAGGTCACCTTGGAGAAGAAGGACAAGGTACCTGGGGCCTGCGGGGTTCATTATACAGCTCAAGATGCAAAGGCCATACAAAGGAAGGCAGCCTTCCCTCGCTCTCTGAGAAGTACGAACACTTGCACGGGCCTCCGTGGGAATCTGATGAGCCGGGCAGCTCAGTGAACATGGGGCCCGCTGCTCTGGGTCAGCACCAGAGCCGGTGGCCATGGTCAGCATGCGAGGCTCCCAGCGCACTGCGAGCCCCACCCTTTGTGGCTGAGCCGGCTGTGGACGCAGGCCGGTGCGGGACAGGCTGCAGCCTGACCACGGCATGCCCCATGGGGAATTGTGCCCGTTGAGGAAACTGGTCCAAACCTCCGGCTCGGGCAGCGCCTGTGCATTCTGGTCCACACATTTTATGGGAAACCACTTTGCATAGGTAACTATGTTTTAAGCTGAGTGAAATTCTCAGAGAACAACCGAAGGCAGAACTTTCTAGAAAGTTGAAGGTGCTACAAAAGCCTCTGGTCTTACATAGGTTTCGTGGACGCTCAATTCTGTGTAGCGTGGAGCTCAGGCATGGCCTGCAGACAAAGCTGCCCCCAGCCGCGCACCAGCTCACGTCTCCGCAGGGGCTGGCTCCAAGACGCCCTAACCTCAACCTGGCAACTGGTCAAAAATTCACGCAGAAAAAGAGTAAGCAGTTAGCAAGACATCCCTTCTCCCCCAAAAAACCTAGCTAGCACACCGTTAAAAAAAAAATAACATGCTTTTGGAAATGATCCTGCAGTATTAAGATGGTGAGTAACCTCATTAGCAGTTAAAAAGATCCTCCGCCACTCGGAAGAAAGCCTCGCCAATATTTACATGTAAATGCTGGGTTCCCAGGGCTGGTGGCGCTGACTACAACCGGGTGTCCCCTGCAGCACCCTCAGAGGGAACGCACCCACCTTCCAGCTACCTGGAGGTGCAGCGGAAGCCACTTACACACTACGGCTGAAAATGAAACCCGACCCACTACTGCCTGTGTCTAATACACAGAAAACAATCAGCTTGCTAAGTAATTCCTGCTGTGACTCGGTACCTTGCTGGCTCCACCGAAGGCGGGCGAGGCTGGTGGTGCTGGCCAAGTCCGAGGCAGGGGACCGAGCACGAGCCGTGGACCGGCACGCTGGGGTACTGGGCCCAAGGTGCATTTTAAAGTAAGTTTTAAATATTATTTTAAAAAGAATGTTTGCGAGTCCCCCCTTTTCTCTTTACCTCTCCTCTGTGTTGTGGGAAGTGGCTTGTGCTATTGTTTCTTTTGGTATGCTGAATTGTTCACGTGGAGTGTGGCCCGAGAGCCGCCGAGAGCAAGCCATGCATACACAGATAAAAGCAAAAGCCCTCTTCGCGGAGCGCGGGTGGCCTCCTCCCCTGAATTTAAACACAGCCTGTGAATTCCACTGGTACATTCTTCAATCACACGCTCACCACATTTAAAAGGGCTTCTGAGATAGCCAAGTACTGTAAACGGGCAGAAAATGACAACTTTGCTGCATGTAGTGCCAACAGAACACAGGATGGGTGAATTGTTTTAAATTATAATATCCTTTTGCTCCTCTTTAAATGCAGATTTCCTGAGACAGGGAGGACTTGCTTAGATAACCATTTAATAAGGCCACGGTGCATCTCCTAGCGCTCAGGAGGGTCGCGCACTGTTCCCTCACAGCAAGCTTTAAGGTTTTTTTAGGTCCAAAATATTGTTATCAGAGGCATACATGTAACTGGACCCCCAGCTGCACTGCACTTACACTAATGTCAGAACGAAATAGCATGCAAATATTTTTAAAAGGAGAGTTCCGTTGGGAGGAAACTCAAAATTCTGGCAGAACGGTAAGTTCAGAACTTCATAAAAATCCTCGTTACTTTTTCTTGTTGTGCACTGGCCATGGCATTCACTCCTGGAGCGGTGAGGCAACCCCCAGCTACGTTTCTGTGTTGTCATTATAGGTCCTGGGTCCTTGTCGGAGTGGGACGCGGCACGCCTGGGCCGGTTTGCAGGGGCAGCCCACAGCCTTCACTCTCCCTGATGGATGGACCCGCTGCCCCAGCGACACACAGGGGTGTGCACCAAGCGCACTTAGCTTACAGACGGCCTCGCGCCAGACCTGACCGCCGTGGGTCTCACGGACTAACCGCGGGGAGGACACCGGCCAGGGTAGGGGTGGGTGATCTGTTGTTCTTGGCCACCGTCTCCCTCAGCAGCACCCAGCCTGAGGGCCACTTCACAAAAAACACAAACCCCCCCACCCACCCAGTCGCCTCTCCACTCATCCAGGAAGAGCTGTGCCGCTGTGGACGCACACTCGAGCCAGGCCGCCTGTGGCCTGTTGCAGAACTCCGTCAGTCTCCCATCGACTGTGAAAAAACACGGTTCGCTGGACGAGGAAAAAAACAAGACTGATCCCATGAGGAGGAAACATTTTAAAAATAAAATTAGGCAGCCTGCTGCATGGCTAAACCAATGCAGGCAGCAGGCAGGGAGGAGTAGGGGGTGGGGGAACGCGCCCGGCGCCCCTGCGCACTCCCCCCGCGCGCCCCAAGTTCACCAGGCTCTCACTGGGAAGGCGGAAGGAAAAACGCAGAGCCGCGCTCGGCGCGCCACGCCGGGGGTTTTGCTCGCTTAATTAAAATACGCCTTCTTGGAAGAAGACGTTGCACTTTTCGATAAGGGCCCACAAAGCCGAGCCGTATTGACATTGTTGCGTTTCGGGGCGGCTGTGAAAGCCGATTTGGAGCCATTCAGGAGCCACAAGAATACGGCTCTCGCATTCCTCGCTGGGATGCAATGTCCTCTTTTGAACTGGAGACTGTCTTTCTCATTCGGCAGAAATAAATCCATTCATTTGATCATGTAGTCATTGAGGGCGATACAAAACAAACCAAGTGTGAGAAATTCTATGTGATGAAGTAAACAAAACAAAAAAACTCCATTTCCATGACAAAAAGATTCTTTCTCCCTAATCCACCCACCATATGCAGGCGTTTCTTTCCAGCGTGCCGCGCTCTCCTCGGGCCGCCGGACCCGCGTCGGGCACCGCTCGCCGCCCCCGGCCGCCGCCCCGCTCGGCCCACCTCGGCCCTGCCGCGCGCGGTGCCCAAACTTTCGTTTTCGCGCTGCGCCAACTCCCGCGGCGCGTGCCTCGGAACCGCTCGCGGGCTTCCAGCACCCCGCAACCCGGCCGTGCCATTGTCTCCCAGGGACGAGCAGGGGCAGGGCGAGCGTGTTCCGGGGATCTCGCCGGGGCGCTTGAGGGGCGCCCGGAGGCGCGGCCGCTACCCCAGGCCGTCTTCGGGGTCTAACGCGGGCGGCGCCTGCCCCTCGCGCTCCGACGTGTCCCGGAGGGGGTTCCTACCCGCGGCACCGCTCGGAGGAGCCGCGGGCACCCGATTTCGGTGTATCGAAAAAGCAGGGGAAAGGCCTAAGAAAAACCTTGAAACCCTCTCAAAAGTAAACAAACAACGGTCACTACCCAAAGACCCCGAACTAGCCGGAAGGCAACCCAACGCCAAAGCCGTGCCCACTCCCTCCCAATTCCCAGGTCGGCCATTAGGAAGAGGCCAGGAGACTTTTGCTCCGCGCTCGCCGGTTTGTCAACGTGCTGCCACGGCGCGCGGAAAGGGAGTCTGCCGGACGGCCTGCTGGCGGCTCGAGGGACCGCGGCCATCGGGGTCGGGCAGGAGGCCGCTCGGGCCCCGGGCCGGCTCGGGCCGGGCACCGCCCCGGGCGCCCAGGGCGCGCGGAGCCAAACAAAGCTGGGCCGGCGCAGCATCCCGGCCGCGTCCCCGGGCGCTCGGCCTTAAGCTCGGCCCCTGTGCAGCGGGGTCCTGAGGGCGCCGGGGTCGGCCGCAGAGCCGGGCGCTCAGGGCCGGGCCAGGGCGTTGTGCAATGCGGCGGCGCTCACCCCGACCCCTCCGGCCCCATCCGCCGCCTCAAAGCCCACTTGGAGCGCGGCGCCTCGGCGCGCAGCTCCCCGACTCGCACGCAGCCGAGCCAACTTTACTTGGCCCCAACTCCTCCCGCGGCCGCGCGCGCCCGGCAGCGGCTCCAGGTCCCCACGGCGGCGCGGCCGGTCCCGCGCGGCGCGGACACTCGTCCCCGGGGCCCCGGGCGCTTGCTCCCCCGCGGCGACGCGCGCAGCCTCCCGCGCCCCTGCCCGCGCGGGCGCCCCGGCCCTTACCTTGCTCTGGAGCCCCGTCCGGCGGCGGCAGCTCCTCGTCCGACTTGAGGTGCTGGGGCTTGGCCTGCTTGCGCCGAGACATGCTGCTAGCGGCGCTGGGACCCCGCGCGGGGCAGCGGCATCAGCGGGGCGGCCGGCGGGGCTGGCGCGGGGCGGGCGCGGGGCGGCCGGGCGGGCGCGGGGCGCGGGGCGCGGGGCGGCGGCGGCGGCTGCGCGGGCCGCGCATGGGGCTGAGCAATTAGGCTGGTGAATAATGCATGGCCATTAGCCGAGGGCCGCGCCGATTGGCCGGCCTCCAGCGGACTCGGGCGGCCTATGCAAATGAGGCCGCGCTCGCAATTAGCGGCCGCGCCGGCGAGGAGGGGCCGCGGCGCCTGCGGGACCCGGGCGCGCGCTGCCGGGCGCCGCCTCGCATCGCGGGCCCCGCCGCCCTCTCCGCCGCCCGCGCTCCTCGGCAGCCAGGTGCGGCTTCGGCGGCGGGCGCCCCTCGGCGCGGCGCAGGCGGCAAACTTTGCGGCGTGCGCGCGGCGCCCTCTCCGCCGGCGCGCGGGGCTCGCCCCTTTATAGAGCGTCTGCGCCGCCGCCCGCGCCCCGCGCCGCCCCCTCCTGCCGCCGCCGGCCCCTCCCGGAGCGAGCGGCCGCGGGCAGGGCTCCGGCCCGGCGCCTTTGTCTCGCCCGGGCCGCCCGGCCGCCGCGCCTCCCGAGCCCCGGGCGCGCGGGGCGAGCGGCCGCCGGCGCTCCTGGGCGGCTCGCGGCGCGGCTCGGCCGGCGGGCCGGATCGGGCTCAGGGGCCCGCGCGCCCCGGATCTCCTCTCCGGGCTCCGGGTTTCTGGCGCGGGCCGGCCCGGCGGCCTGCCGGGCTCGGAGGCTCGCGGCCGGAGCGGAGCGGAGTGCGCCACGCCGAGCTGGCGGGACTTCGGCGAGATCAACTTTCCGGTTCGGAAGCGGCGCGGGCCGCGCGGCTCCTCCCCTCCCCCGGGCTCCCCCTCCCCGCCCCCACCCGCCCCTCCCCGCGCTCCCCGCCCCCCGGGCCCCACCGACTCGGAGCGCCAGCCCCGCCCGCCGCCGCCGCCGCCAGGGCTGCGGGGGGCCCCGCGCGCGCACGCCCGCCCGCCGGCTGCCGCTTCGCTGCGGGGAAGGGAGGGGACGCCGGGGTCTGCGGGGTCCCCTCCCGCAGCTCCCCTTCGCGGCGGGCGTCGTCGGAGCGGGCGGCGAGCGCGGCAAAGTTCTGAGTCCACACCAAAGTCCCGCGCGATGCCCGCGCAGTGTTGGGGTTCCGAGGGTGACGTGGGGCGGGGGCAGGGCAGGTGCGGGAGTCGCGCGCATCCCGTGCAACCCCGCACACTCCGGCGGAGGACGCGGCGCGCGTGCGCGGCTCCGCGCGTCCTTCCACCCGCAGCGGCACACACGCGTCCGCGCGTGTTACCGGTCCCCGAGCGGCCGCCAGGATGCGACCCGGGCCTCGCCGCCGCCAATCACTTCCTAAATGTCTACTGTACGTCCTCGGGAGCGGCGCCGTCTGGTGCGGGGCTCCGGCGCAGATGGCCCGCGGTGACCAGTGGGCCGCGAAACCTCCCTCCTGCGGGGCGGCGGGGTCTGCCCTCCGGAAGACTCGGGCCCCGCGCCGGCCTCCCGCGCGCCTCTCTGCAAATCCTACGCAGGCCCCGCGGCGGCTGCAGGAAAGGCGCTCGGAGCCCCCGGAGGACAGAGGCGCAATGCTTGGCTCGCCTCCGGACAGTCCCTTCGCCACTTCCGTAAAAACAAACAAGCAAACACCAAAAGCCCAATTCCTTAAGATTTGTTTTGTTTTTTGGTAGCGCCTCGCCTTCTGGCAGCGGGCGCTTTTTCTTAAGAAAGAGGCAAGTAAAAAGTGCGGAGCCTTGAGCTGCTCCGCGTGGCACAGATCCCAGCGCTTCTGTGCTTGACCCGGGGCGGGAGCGTCCGTCCTGGGCGCGCGGTGAACTTGGCCGCAGTGCGCGCGGACACTTCAGGGGCCAGGCCCCCGGTCCGGCCGGCGCGGGATGCGGCGGGTGGGCAGGGCGGGGCTCGGGCCCGGGGCCGAGGAGTGGGGAGAGAGCTCCTCGCAGCATCCCGAGGCCGACGCGGGCTTGGGCGAAGAGGCCGCGCTTCGGCCGAAAGGTCTCCTGCAACTTGATGGAGATAAGGGGCGCCTGGTTGCCGGCGAAGGGCGCACCGTCTCTGCGACCTGGCTGGCTCTCCTTTGCCGACGCCCTTGGTAAAGCAGCAGCCAACAGCGGCTCCCGCGGCGCTAAAGCCTGGAAGTCCGCAGCCCTCGGGCTCGCTAGGGCCGGGCCCCCGCCGCCTCGGCTCCTCTCCGGGTCACTGGGCGAGCCGCGGCCGGGTCTCCCGCTCCCTCCCTCCAGCCGGCCCGCGGCGCGTGGGGCCTGCGGCTGCAGGCGGGGTGGGGGGTGGGGGGGAGCGGGGGAGCTCTGCCCGAACCCTTCGGTTTCCGACGCCTTGCTCTGCGTTTTCTACGAGGTGTGGCCAAGGGAGGGTCTCTGAAGACCCTCCAATGAAGGCGAGTCTGACACCGCGGCCATGCATGTGTACAAAAAGCAAGCAGTGGAGGTGCCGCGGGGTCCGTGTCGCCGGGACGAGGAGCAAGGACCCGCGGGCTCCGCTGGGCGCTGCGTGGAAGCCGTTGGGCAGGAGTGCAGGACTCGGGGGACCACACTCCGGCCCTAGCGGCTCTGTCTCAGCCTCGCGCACGTGCTCTGGTCCCCGGTGTGGACCCGCATCTCCCCGAGTGCGGACAGCATTGGGGCTCTAAGTCAGAGGCATAGCTAGGCCTGGGCTAGCCCAGCCGGAGCTCTCACCCCTCGGCCCTGCTGCCGAGATGCGCACCCTTCAGAGAACGGACGTGGCGGGAGTGGCTGCTTTTTATGAAATCCAGGGGGAACCCAAAGGGCGTGCTACCTCCCGGCTTCCCGCGTGCTTTTCTACCTGAGCACCCGCAACTCGGGTAAGCCGGGAAGGAAAAAACTTCGGACAGAGGACGCGGGCCGTGGGCTCGTCCGCCCGGACCTGTGGGCGCGGGAAGGCGGCGCTCGCCCCGTCGCCACGTGACCCGTGCCAGTCCGAGTCCCGCGGTACCTAGGCGCCTCCACATTGACAGAAGTTGCCCAGGCCCCGGGAATTGACTCCCGTTTGTGCATTGTCTTCCCTCGCGGGCCGTTTTCATCTTCCAAGGCGACATGTTGTTATTTTGCCTGCCTAATCATATTATTTACAGATTGATACTGTATGTTTTACATTAGTGGAACATGTAATTAGGTGTTTGATTTAATTTGTATCATTCATTCGGATCTAGCAGAAAGCTCCTCTGCCAGGGAGATTGGACACGAGGAAGTGCCAGCGGGTTCTAGGACGGCGTGCGCTGGCAGTACCTGGCTCCAGGTGCTGGAGGAGCGCACGGGACTCTGTGCAGTGCGTGCCAGTCCCCAGCCGCGGGGAGACCACCTGAAAGTGAGGGCTACCCCTTCCCCTTCCCTTCTTTACTCCCTGCAGCCTTTCCAGGCTTTCTTCTCTGCTTCCCCCTCTGCCTTCTTTCTCCCCCAGCCCTAACTTTCGCCCCAGGTCCTGGGGGTTAAGTCCAGCCCGGTTTTTGTGTCCTCTGCGCCGTGACAAGTGACCGCTAATTGGTTCTCAGTTGAGCAGAGATATTACCATACTAATATTATTATTGGTAAGCAGAGGTAATTGATGCCACCACCTGCCACTCCGCCGCAGTCACGGTGATAAATGTTTCCATCAGCCGGAAATCTGTGCTTGGGGTCCCACAGCCCGACGCCGACAGCATGCCAAGCGACTCTTATAAAGATGTTGCTCGCCTCCTCCGGGCTGGGAAAGGTTAGAAAACACGCACCCCACCCCCCGAAAATGGCTCGCAAGGGCTTTGGAAAAAGCCTGCTCCACGAGACCATTCTCCCACGCAGCCCTCCTGTTCCGTCACACAACCCGGCTTCCAGCTGAGATGGCCCGGGGTGCGGCCCAGCCACCCTGCCCTCGCTGCGCCACTCCCGCGCGTGGTAGAACCCTGAACGCAGCCGGAGGGGGCGTCGTCTGCCCCCGCCGGGTCTCCCAGGCTGCCCAGCGCACTGTCCAGGGCAGACAGGGCTGGGCGGCCGGCGCGCTGCGGGGGCTGTTCTGGCTACCCCCACCCCCATTCCCCAGCACACGCCTTGCCGCCTACGGTTCCGCCAACAGCGCCAACGACTGCAAACTTGGCCCCGTGCGCCGAAGGGGAGGCTCGAACGATTGTTATTAGCTTGCATTAATAGATGCAGGCCTCCAAAGGCAAAATCAGCTATTGATAATTGCAAGAAGTATACAGCGGCTACCGTATCGATCCGCTTGTCCCTTATTCCCCTGGTGGGTGAGAGATAAGAAGACTCCCTGTTTAGTGCAATATAATTTCTTTTGACCTATCTGCTTGCTACAGACTTATGATGAATAGCTGGAGTGGTTAAAGTCCTTTATCACGAAAGTTACCCCTTGATATAATATTGATTCTTTATAACTAGCTCCAAACACAAAAATCAAACTGTCCACTTGACCATCATCATCATCAATATCATCACAAAGCGTGCGGAATAGACAGCGACGCCGCCCGAAGACGCCGCCCGTAATCTTCTGGCTGATCTTTATTCGCCCAAGATGAAAAGGGGAAGGCGCGGCGGGGGTGGGGGAGCCGAATGTCACCCGGACACGCGAGGGCCTCCAGCGTGGGCGCCTGCGGGGCCCGCGCGACCCCCCGCAGGCGGTGCGTTGGGGGCGCGGGAGCGGCTTGGGGTGCCAGGGAGGCCGCGCGCGTCCTGGGCTCCCAAGGGGTCACGCCAGGTGGGCTCGCTTCCCCGCGGGGCTGTGCCGCGCTTCAGAGTGCTTCAAAGGCGGGCGAAGCAATTTGGGCGCTTTTCTTCCCCAATTCCTGGCCGTTTCCTGTCCTCCTGGCTGCCCCGCCCCCGCGCCGCACTGAGCCCGGCGCCGGTGTGAGTGCGCGGGCGGCCGCGCGTGGGCGCTTCTGCTCGTCCGGAGGCCCGGGTGGCGGCTGCGTCCGGATGC